GCTCAGCCTGTAATCCCATGCTTTGGGAGGCTGAGGTGAGTGGATTGCCCGAGCCTGCGGGTTCGAGACCCGCCTAGGCAACTTGGTGAGACTTCATCTCTACAATAAATCAAAAAATTAGCCGGGCATGGTAGCGCGCGCCTGTAGTTCCAGCTACTTAGAAGGCTGAGGCGGAAGGATCGCTGGAGCCCAGCAGGTCGAGGCTGCGGTGGCCGGGAGCGGCCACTGCACTCCAGTCTGGGCGACAGAGTGAGACGCCAACTCAAAAAAAAAAAAAAGAAAGAAAGAAAGAAAGAAATTGGCCTTTCAGCTTGCCCAGACACGCTGTCAGCGAGCATGAGAGCCGGCCTGCCTCAGCTGTCTGCTGAGAGCACTGGGCAAGGTGCCCCTCCCGCAAGTGCCATGGTGGGGTATCGAGTGGCCACAGAACAGGCCTCCTCGCTAGGACTTGGTGATCAAGGGCTCTCCTATTTGCTTAACCTCGCTAGTTAGAGCCACCATGAGGCTTTCTTTGGTGGATTCTGTGGGTCAAGGAAGGGACTGTGTCACTGTGGAGCACGCGGCATGCCCAGAGCTGACAGATACACGCAGGGCTGGGGCTGAGCGAGGCAGAAGCTTCACAAACAGCAACAGCCAGTCCACCCCCAGAGCCCAGGGTTCTTCAGAGCCCCAGCAGGGCTGTTAGCTGAACCTGTGGATGCTTCTAGAAGGCCGGGATGGGCCAGACTGGTTTCCAAGTCCAGAAATCAGCTTAAGTGCCAAGAGGAAGCAAGAAAATGTTAGTCATGGGATCTCAGGAGCTTAAGGACCATGCCAGCATGGGGGTGGCGACCACATGGAACTCGGGGCTGAGGGTGTCACGGGCAGCTCACTATGTGCCCGCCCTTGCTGGACAGTGACGTCTGAAGGCCCCTGGTGTGCCCCACATGCCAGACCTCCAACCCTCCACAGTGATGGCACGCTTGTGGCTACGGACCCCAGGTCTCCTCCTAGAAGCACCTGCAGAGTCCTGAGAGACCACCAGACCCTGTTTTGCCAGCTACAAAGAATGGGCACTTGGCACTGATGTGAGTTTCCTCAAAGCTGCCCATTTTGTGACTTCTGGGGAGTGATTGCCAGTGTGGAGCCAGGCATGTGTCCACAGGCAAGGCTTGTGGCAACAAAAGGGCAGTAGGTGACTGTGGCTCCATGTCCTGAGCAGCTCCTCCTCTGGGGTCTGCTCTGGGGGTCTGCATGTGTGGGCAGGCAGCTGGCAGAGAGCCCCTGGGAGGCAGGGTGCCCCTGTGGGCTCCAGGACCTGAGTGCGCCAGCTGACCAGAGTGACCCTAGTGACCAGGTGCTGCTCTTCCTGGTCCTGCCCCCACTCAGACCCAATGGCCTGTGTCCTAGAAAGTTCCTGGCCACAGTTCCCATGTTCCTTGCCTGGCATGGTTGGCCAGGACAGGATGACAAGCCTGGACTGCTGAGCACGCCCAGGTTTGCCAGTTGTGGACACTGGCACCTGTGGTGTTTGTGTTCTGTCTCAGGGCAGTGGGCAGTTATTATATATTTGTGTCCAGGAACAGCTCTCACCAAGAGATGCTGAGTGCACTGAGCCTTGTCAGTGCCTTGTCAGCACTGTCACAGCCTTGGTGATGGGATCTGAAAATGACTCTCTTGTGAGATGAGAAGCTTGAGCTCTCTGACTTGGTGATGCTGTGGCATTTCCAGTCCCGCCGCCTCCTGGAAACCGTGTATCCTCCATCATGCTCTTACAGTAACTGTCTTGGCCAGCGGCCTCTTCCTTCTTCCCCACTGGAAGGAGAAGGGAACCCATGGTGGAGGGGAATCCTCTTAGTCCCCTTGAGCGTTACCATGTTTTGAACATGGACAATTTCTGGCAAATGCTAGAAGGTTCAGCCAATTCCTTAGTCGTCAAGAGCAAAAAGGCCAACAAAGCCCCTGTGATCACACCATTCAGTCACTCACTGGATCATTTACTCACATTTGTTCCAGGTCACCACCTGCCACTAGGGCCGACACCCTGAAACAGGGGTCTTTGACAGTGGTGACCGTGGTGGGAGGGGCCCATCATGCCAGATGTCAACCCTGGGATACCACTTGCAGTCCCGCCAACACCCTTGTTCTGTTCAGTCCTTCAAGGGTCCTGAAGGAGGAGGACCTGTCCTCGGGCCTCCAGAGGAGGAAATGAAGTAGGGGCAGCTGGTATCTAGGCCCCTACCCAGTGAGCTGCTAGAGGTCCTGTTAGGGGAGCAGGTGGCAGCACTGATGCACGTGGCTTAAGACAAAGGTGTCACCGTTCATCAAGTCGGGGTTACTATTTTCATGGCAGAAGTGTTCTTCAGTCCTTCAAAGGACATACAGTGACAGAACTCTTTCAGGGCTGCAGTCTTAATGCCTTCAGCTGGGGTCTAGTGCCAGGCACCTCCTGATACCCACTGCTAGAGGAGGCCAGTGATGGCTTCATGGAGGGTCTTTCAGTGGTGGCATCATTGCCGCCTGTGCTCCAAGCTCGCCTCAGGCCCTCCTGCCATCTCAGTGAGCAGGAAGCCCGGCTGGGATGGAGCCTTTCGAGTCGAGGCCTGGGGTTCTGTGCCTTGGTGCTGCGAGTTTCTGGGGCCCTCAACCTGCTGTCACAGAGTGGGATGTTTGTGCAGGGAGTGGGGTTTCCGCAGCCCTGCAGTTTGGCCCCTGGAAGCAGGCTCTGCAGCAGCAGGTGTACCTGAGTGGGAAGTTCACCAGGCAGTGCTCTCACCTGGGAGACGAGCTGCTGGGCTGGGACCATCCCAAGGGGAGCAGGAGGCTGGGCTGGTTCTTCCAAGGAGTCATTCCATGGCCAAGGCTGCCCAAGCAGGGTGTGTCGAGGACAGTCTCCTGGCAAGGGCAGAGAGCTGAGGGTTGGCAGGGCCTGGATGGGCCCTCACTCCCTCAGGGGTCCTAGGCAGATGGCCACAGGCCACCACGTGTGTGTGACTGTGCACCATTTGGGAAACGCACAGTGAGAGTGTTTCTGGCTGGCCGAGTGGAACATGGAAGTCAGTGAGCATTTCAGCTCGAGCTACCTTGATTTCGGCTCCCCCTTGCCCGAAGGTCGGATTGTCTGCAGTATGGGCTAGAAGGCTCCTAGAGTGGGAGCACGGATTGGAGGGCTCTTTCCGGAGTAGGAGTGCAGACTAGGGCTCTTTTGGAGTGGGTTCTCTGCCGTCAGGCATCCCATGTTGAGGCAAGTTCTCTGCCCTGCTCCCTGTCTTGAGGCGTGAGCCACCTCAGCTGTCTAAAGGCTTGGCCAGCCTTCGGTTCACAGGCTACCTGGAGTCCTCCCCAGTGTTACATGCATGACAGGCCCAGGGACATGGGTTTATTTTAAACAGTAACGAAGGTGACTGTCTTGGACTCACTTCGATCAAGCCCTGCTAGTGTGGATTGAGCACAAGCTCCCAGCCAGGCAGGGCCACCAATGCATGTCCTCCTCTTTCCTGGGCAGCAGCAGGTCCTGGCGAACCTAACAGCACCCAGTAGCTGGTCACAGGGTCCCAAGGTCCTAGGGTGTTTGGGGACATCTTGTCCCCCAGATTCCAGTGGCATTGGGCCACTTTGAGAGTAGTTTGCTCTCTATGCTGGTGGTGGTATGAAGTGACACCTATGGACAGCCCTAGACAATTGTACGGGCAGTTCTGAGGTTCTGCTGAGGCAGCCAAAGACATTCCAGTGTGTTTCAAACCCAGCACAAACAGGCCCATTCCCAGCGTGGTCATCTCACCTCACTCACAGAGTAGTCGGCTCAGGGCAGGCCACTACGTCTCAGGGCTCCAGGCCTGTCTTGTGACTCTGGAGGAGGTAGGCCCAAATCCCCAGTGTCCTGGGCTGTGAGAGAATTTGCCCAGGTCAGATTAAAGTAGAAAAACAGGTTTGTTGAGTACCTGCAAGGTAGACAGTGGCAGGAAAGCCATGAGGGAGCTGTCTGCATGAGCCAGGGCTTGAGGGGGTCCTCACAGTGACCTCCTTTTTGTGAGGGTTAGGATTCCCGCTGTGCACATGAGGGATCAAAGCCTGGCAATTCTGATTGGTTGATGTTCGACTTTGACGTAGCCACCCAGGGACCAGCTGAGGTTGACACAATGTGGCTCTTGATAAATGGCTTCCATGCCAGGTCTCTTTGGGCTGGCACTCCTCGTCCGCCCTGAGCCAGCCGCCCAGCAGCCACCCTTGCTTCTCTCTGCATTCGCACTCTGTGTGCATAGACTTCTCTTTGCTGAGAAAGCCCGGCCTTGTGCCCTGGGTTGTGGCTCTCAGGCCTTTTCTTGTCAAGCTCCGACCTGGGCAGCATCTTCCAGCATTTCCAGGTCTGTGTCCACCTACGAGACCCATCACTCCATATCCTGCTACCTTCTCCAAATACTCCTTCCAGGCTGCAGCCGGGGCACGTGCCTGAAACCATGAACAGCCAGAATGAGCGTTGCATCCTTGATGTGTGGGCTTTTGTCCCCTGGCATGCCCTTGATATACAGACTTACTGTGCCTCCTCCATCTGTAAAGTGGGGTGACGGTATGTCCTCTCCTGGCCTGGTTAGTTCCTGCTGTGGAATTTTATGGCCACCTCATGGCACTGACCTTTGGTTCCAGGAACCAGGCCTAGGTCCTAAAGGGAGTTGCTGGAGTGAGCTGCTGTCGGGAGATTGAAACCACAGGGACATGCCTCAGCCGCAAGGTTGTTGAATGTGAGCCCTCAGGGCTGTGTGGGTCCACCCTGCCCCAGGTGGTCCACAGGACCAGATCCTATCAATGCCCTGGGCGCACCTCCTGTAGGCCTTGGACAGCCCCACGCCCTAGTCCTTGTCAGAAGCCTGCTTGCAGCCCAGCCTTGGGCATGGGGAGGCAGGAGCCACGCAAAAGGAAGGCCAGCTTTCACAGGGGCCCTCCTGAGGTCTCTCAGCCTTGCCTCTGCTATGGAGCTTAGTGACTGGGCTGGATTTTAACACTTTGTCATCTTCCTTAGTGTCCAAGATGTATGCAGTGTGATGCCAAGTTTGACTTTATCACCAGAAAGGTGAGTGAGGCCAGCGAGTGGCCTGGGTGGGCCCCAGCAGGGCAGCAGGTGCTCTTTGGGGAAGGCCAGCTCCTTGGCAGCATGGGTACTGCAGGAGGCATTTTGAATGTCAGCCATGCCCTCTGCTTTGGGGGACTGAGGATCAGGAGAAGGTGATTCCGAGTGACTTGCCAAGTGCCTGTATGCTTGCATGACACCTGTGTGCTTACATGATGCCTGTGTAGCACCATCCCCTGCTGAGTGCGGCCCAGACGCGCGGCGGGGGGGGGGGGGGCCCTTGTTCCTAAAACGCCGTGGTGTGTAGCAGCACCAAGGCAGGGTATCTTGCTCACAGATCTGGGTGGTTGAAAGAGGTGAGCCGTCTGATCTCTTATTTTATCAGGCCTCCGCCCTAGTGTAGCAGAGCCTGCTGCATGGGCCCTCTCTGGGCTCCCGGGTGGCCCACATCTCAGGCCAATGTCAGCAGATGTGCATGCAGGGGGCCCAGCATGTTGTCTTTGGCGCATTCAGGGGGTGGTCGAGGCATCCCAGGCCAGCAGGGTGGGTCCTGGGGACCCTCGTCCCTGGCCCCACCTCACTGCCGCCTTTGGCCACCCACCCAGCATCACTGTCGCCGCTGTGGGAGGTGCTTCTGTGACCGGTGCTGCAGCCAGAAGGTGCCACTGCGACGCATGTGCTTTGTGGACCCTGTGCGTCAGTGCGCAGAGTGTGCCCTGGTGTCCCACAAGGAGGTGGAGTTCTATGACAAGCAGCTCAAGGTGCTCCTGAGTGGTAAGCAGCCTGGTGGCATCCCATGTGCCTCCTGCAGGGAGACACATGCCCGTGTGTCTGTGTGTCCTTTTCTCCGACATGCTCTCACCTTCTCTCTTGTCTTCTGGATCGTCCTCTTCAGAGATGAAAATGTCATCTAAAATGGTCCTGACTCCGCTGGGCTCATCCACCAGGTGGGAGGGCAGCCCTGGACCACTCAGCAACACCTCTAAGTGGAATGCTGTTGCTAGTGGTCGCGCCTTTGTGACTGTGGCCCCGAGAAGAGGTCCAGAACCCTTCGCCCAGTGGCATACTGCAGACTGGGGTTCTGAGCCAGCTGCAGGGGGCACAATGTGGGGAAGGGGGTTCTCCAGAGGGCGAGGGCCTGCTTCCAGCCGGGAGCCTGAGAAACCAACACCTTTCCCAGCTCTGCTATGCCCGGCACTCCTGCCCACTGTCCTGCAGGCCTGCCTTAGGTAGCCCAGTCTTTCTGCTCCAGCCCCATCCTGGTGGGATGATGACCTTAGGGTTTTGCTGTGCCTTCTCTCTACAATGTTGCTCTTGTCCTAGTTGGCTCTCAGGACATGTGTGTGGGGGTATTATTCTCTGATCTGGACTTTTGTAACGAATTCCTAGCACCCTTTCTTTGAAGGACATAAAAAAATTCCTAGGAGTTTTGGAAGGAATCAGAATCTACCTTAAAGCAGCGCTTTCTGTTTACCTCTTAAGCCCCTAACCCACTGCTGCCTTTCACACTGCTGGAGGGCGTGGGAGCAGAGCTGCTGTCTCTTTCTCACCAGTCCTCACTTTTCCTCTCCCTGTGCGCAGCTTTGACTGGTGCAAGGCTGGGGGTTAGTGGACAACAAGCAGGTCCTGCTCTCACTTTGCTTTTGTATCCCAAGGTGCCACCTTCCTCGTAACTTTTGGAAACTCAGAGACATCTGAGACTATGACTTGTCGTCTTTCCAACAACCAGAGGTAAGAGCCAAATCCTACCAGGCACTGGGCCGTGATGTCACAGACTGTGGACCTCAGTCACACTGAGCCTGACAGTCACATGATTTGGATATTTTGGTTTGTTGTAGATACTTGTTTTTGGATGGAGACAGCCACCATGAGATCGAAATCGCACACATCTCAACTGTGCAGATCCTCACGGAAGGCTTCCCTCCTGGAGGTAAATGCTGGCATGTCGTCTCCTAAGCAGGAGGTTTGGACCGTGAGTGGGTGGTAGGAGGAGTGGCTTTCGCCACAGGCATCTGCCCCAGGGAGCAGCACCTGCTGGCTCTCAGGAAAGTCTGCCTTCCTTGTCTGGGCTTGCATTAGTCAGGGATCCAGAGCTCGCCAGACGAGTGGGGGCTTGAACTGTGAGGCCACGGGAAGGTTTGCCCAAGCGCACATGATGGTCTCCCATGGCTTCAGGGGTCTCTCGCATCACATCATTACTGCTGGATCCAGCCAAGGGTAAAGCTCCAGATGCGATAAGTGGGTTTCTAAGAGCCCTGTAGTGGCGGACAGTCGGGACCAGTACACCCCTCCTCCTGCAGGCGTCTGTGCAGACTAAGTCCTGTGTGCATTTCCTCAGGAGTGTGAGCCCAGCCTGGTCCTGGCCTGCTTGCCTTGCACTCTTGGTGGCTGCCGCCCCCTGGGGGAGTGGGCCTTCACCTGCAAACCTTGCCGAGATGCACATGACATGCTCTGAATTGCTTTCCGTCTTCTGACCAGCTCTTGGTTGTTCCTTCTCTTTCTTCACTGCCTGCCTACCTTCTTGACGTAGAAAAAGACATTCCCACTCACATCAGTCTCCTGGGGAGCCAGCCTGCTTCTGAAGGTCAGCTTCCTCCCGCGTGCGGGGGGGCCCTGCGCCTCCCTTGCTGCTCTGCTCCTGTCCAAGGGGGGAGGTCTGTGCCAAGATTATTTGCGAAGCTCACGTTCACTTCTTTTGGTTGATGTAAGAGTGACCTTGGGTCCAGTACATGGTTCTGGAGAGCATGAAAATATCTCACACTCAGTTCTGCTATGTGGGGAGGAAGGCATTACCCTGCAGTTGACAGCTGTATCTACCAGCCCTTGAGCAGGCTGAGGCAGCGGCACAGTGGCCTGCCAGGTATCAGGAGTCTCCCAGCACCGCCCTGCCCTCTTGGCCACACTCACCCCACACACTGTGGGCTCCCGGGACTCTGATTCTTGGCATTCCCGCCCAGCCTGCTGCATGGGGCAGTGAGAGGCCTAGTCAAAGAATGCTTCTGGTGTATAAAAAGCCTGTACGTACAGTTCCCACTCCCATGAAGTGCCCTCCTTGCCTTGAGGCTAGGCCAGTGTTTTGCCCTGTCTCGAGCACAGGCTTGTGCTTGGTGCAGGATGGCATCAAGCTGGTTGCCTTTGGCAGGCTGTGAGGTGAAGCCCCAGGGTCTGGAGAAGCCAGCCCAGGGGCCCCTCAGCCTGCTTCCTCCTGGGGAGCCCGAGGCTCAGGGAGGCAACTTGCTGCAGCCCCTCCAGGGTACAGTTATGGCTTCTGGTGTCATCTTGCCCGTGCTCACAGCCTGTCCTTGGCTTGCTCCTGGGCAGCCCTGGGGGCTTCTGGCACTGTGTACCCCTTTATGGTGGTTTTGGGAACAGGCGAGGCACTGAGGGGTTGCCCACCAGCCTGGTCCCCTAGAGCAGGGCTGCATGCTTGTTCTGTCACTGGCCAGAGGGTAAACTTTTGCCAGCCACACATGCTGTCACAAAGGCAGAAGCAGCAGCAGACAGCAGGGCAACCGATAGCCATAGCTGTGACCCAGTGACACTTCATTCACAAGAGCAGGTATGGGCAGAGCAGTGGCAGGCCTGTCCAGAACAAAGGTAGGAGACCCAAGGGAGCCCAGTTGGGGACCTCAGGCTGACAGGCAAGACTTCTCATGGGGGCTGTGTTTCCAAACAGCATAGCTTGTGAAGTGTGGTGTTGGTCAGGCCAGGCCTTCTCAAGTAGGCACAGTCCAGGCGCTCACTCGAGTGCCTCACATCTGATGGGGCGTCTCCTGAGAGGGAGATGATCGCTCAGAGCGGAGTTTTCCTCCCGAAGGTGCAAAGCAGAACAGCTGCAGGTCAAGTTTGCTGTGAGTTTTACTCTGTGGTTGACTATGAAGGCCATCTGTTCCCTGATTATTCTCAGAGCAGGTGCTGGGATCAAGTCATTGTCACTGGATTAGCTGGTCATGGCCCAAAGAAGGGGAGGCTGTATCCCACTGGGCCTATCCCAGCACCGGTGTTTGTGGGCCTCTGTGCCAGGCCTGATGCTCTTCTGCGCATGGGCCCTAGTTCTCAGTAGAGGGCCTGCTGAAGCCTCTGCCCTCTGGGTGTCAGGCCAGTTGTGACATGAGCATCCACATGGCCTGTCTCCAGTGGCCAGGCACTGTCAGGGTGGCCTCTGTGCTTCCATCAGCCCTGGACACAGGGTTCCAGCTTTCCCTGGGGATTCTCTGAAGGCAGGAATCCCTGTACAGGGTTGGGAGGTCCAACAGTTTCTGGCCTGGGAACAAGGTCTGTCATGCAGCTCTCAGTGACACGATTCAATTTATTTGTATCAGGCCCTAGAGGTCAGTAGGCCCGGTGTCATGGTCCCTGTCTTGGTCCCTTTCCCACCTCTGTGAACTTGGGGTCTCCCACCAGAGACAGGCACAGGGAGGCCGTGTTCACTCACCACCCGGCTGCTTCCTCGAGCATCCCAAAGTTAGGAAGGTGCTCTGGCCACCACTGCATAGGGGCTCGTGGCGTTTTGGGCACTCAGGATCCCCGTGGGCCTTCTTACCTCCTCTCTTTCCTCCAGGAGGCAACACACGGGCCACGGGCATGTGCCTGCAGTACACAGTGCCAGGGACAGAGGGTGTGGCCCAGCTGAAGCTGACAGCCGGGGAGGATGCTAATGCTGGCAGGAGGCAGGCGGTGGCGTGGCTGGCAGCCATGCACAAGGTACTGTGGCCGGGCCGGGGAGGCTGGGCCCTTCAGCTCAGAGCACAACCTTCCCAGAGGAAGATCCATCCCTGCTGTTTGCCCTCCAGGCACCCCACCTGTCTCCCTAGTAGCTTCCCTGAAACTCATGCAGGCTCAGTACCATCAGGCACAGGCCCAAGCATATCTCACTGTGTGTCTTTGGTCACCTGCAGGCCACCAAGCTCCTCTACGAATCTCGGGACCAGTGATGCCTTGTGGGCAAGGGCTTGGAGTACATCTGGCTACCAGGTCTGAGTCACTTGGAATAGCAGGGTGCCTCCTGCTTGTGCTGGGAATTGCAATTTACATACTGGAGAAACGGAAGTGCTCACTTACCTAGTGCAATATGTACACAGATTATTAACGCTTTGAACAGTTTGATATTTTAGAATTTGTGGATTATCTTGTTGATATTAACTGGGGGTAGGAGAGACTGAGCTCCACTACTACACTACTGCTAAGCTATCTTTTGCATAATCTGTGCCATGTTTTCATGAGTTCCCAGGTTGGTCCATCTGGGTAGTACTGACTCAGACCTCTGACTGGTAGTGGCACCTGCTCCGTCTCTCACAGCCAGTTTACGCACTTACCTTAGCCTGTTCTACAGACTGTCTACTTACTTGGTTGCTAACTTTGGCTGTGAACATCCTTTGATACTTCACTAAGGGGAAGGCGCTGGCTTTTGTGTTTGTACTTTTCACTATTTCACTTTATTAAAATGTACAGCCATTTGTACATAAAGCTATTATGATTAAAACCTATTTTGAACGTAGATGAGCCCTTGCTTTCCTGTGTGGTCACCTGAGCACCGGTGCCATGGCCATCTGGTTCCAGAACACAAGACTCATAGTCGTCGGGGTTAGACAGTGGTTTATTGTGCATGTTTACACGGTGTCAGCAGCATCGGGCCACAGAGGCTACACTCCCATCACGAGGCTGCTCCACAGTGGAGCGGATGTCATCACCACACTATGTACAGTCAATGCTCAGGTGATGGCTGCAGCACTGCATCCAGGACTATACACACATCTATACATACAGTATACACATGACTCGTACATGAAAATAAAGCCTAAGGTCCTGTATTTTAAAGGGAAAAAAACATTTCCAACATAGATCTGGTAGATTCGAATGGTCTAGTCAAAAATCGAATGGTCTAGTCAAAAAATACTTTTGGTATATAAAAAGCCTGTACGTACAATTCACACTTCAGTGAAGTGCCCTCCTTGCCATGAGGCTAGGCCTGGGTCAAAGGTGATGGTGTCACAGCTGGCCCAGGCAGGGGAGGCCAGTAGAGGCAGAACGGCTGGTGGCAGGGGGTGGGCAGAGAGCTGCTGCCCCTCAGCATCCCTCCTGCTGCCAGGCATCTGCAATCCTTCAGGCATACAACAGCCTGTCTGACTAGGCCCTGCTCTGCCCTCACGCCCACCATCGCCCCCCAAACCTCAGCCCTTGTTGCCCGTGGGCGCCAGTGTCTGCAACATCACTACACCCATGCTGTAGGGGTAAGATCCACACTGGCAGCAAGGGGCTGTGAGGTCAGAGGAGGACAGTATGCTCTGAGGCTCTCCTGACTTTGTCACCAGGTCTCAGGGCTCTGGTGCCCATGGTGTGGTTGGCACAATCAGCCTTTAGATGAACTAGACCAACATCAGGACAGGAAGCAGAGCACCCCAAGGCTGTCAAGTAGGGTGGTCACTGAGGGACATACACATTAGGCAACAACACTGGACAGAAGTGTCCATACAGGGTTCCTTTGGCGATGAAAGGAAGAATGTCATGTGAGGAAGGATGGGGGTCTGACTTTCTGTAACAGGAAGGCAGGGCTGGAGGGGGAGCAGGCCTTACAGCACTGCGAGTGTTCACTGTTGGGGTGGGTGACATCTAAGATAGTGATGGCCTTGGGGCCAGGTCAGTAAGCTTCTGTCATCACTGGCAACCAACCAGGGGTTACTTACAGGGTTGCTTATTGGCAACAGGGGTGGGTGTTTTTTGAAAGCTGGGTGTTTATTTGGATTTACAGTAATTGGCAAAATTCAGTCCTCTTGGAGGTGAAGAGCCTCTCCCAGTTAAGGGCAGGCTGGAGAAAGGGCCTCACCCGAACACTGCAGGATTCACACTGTGGACGCCTTCTGCTGAAGTGAGCACCATGAGAGCCAGTTCCAGCTTCAGCTTCCTGGGGAAACGGCACAAGAATCTTCAGGGGCTCCTGGCAGCTGGTGAGGCGTGCAGTGTGCTCCAAACGGAACTCAGGCCAGTGTTCGCTGCCGGGGCTTGATCCGTGGGTATAACTGGGAAGCAACAGAGACCAGCACATGTGGAGAAGACACGGAGCAGGACCAGCCCCCAGGTACACCCGGTGGGCCTCTGCCCCACACCTCTGCATGCCACCCCAATGGCCATGTGGCTCACTCCTCCCTTAGCTTATACCCAGCAGTCATGACTTCACTCTGAGATCCACTCTAACCCCCCTTAAAAAGGTGCCCCACCCCCAAGTATTCTGTCTTGGCTCTCTCTTAGCACTTCATACTACCTAAAAATTTGTTCCTGCCTGTGGGCCCCAGGACGCAAGCTCCCATGGACAGGTGTGTATCTGGTTCACTCATTGCCTGGTGGATACCCAGGGCCCAGGGAAAGCTGGCTGAGTGAACAAGGGGCATGTGCCAGACCCTCTGTGGCATGCAGGAGATCGATGCCACTATAGACGCAACAGAATCAGCAACTTGACTCTGTGTACTCTCCACCCCCCCACCCCCACCATCTGAGAAAGTTCTGGGCTGCAGGGAATTCTAGATTGAAAGAAGTCCAGATGGGGTGAGATGAGCTGTTTGCTGAAGTTCGTGAACAGAGCTGTGCAGCCCCTCGGGCTCTCAGCCTCCACATGGGCCTCACCAGTGCCTTAGCTACTCCTGCAGTGTGGACATAGGCCTGGCACCTCCAGGGCTTCTGCCTGAGCCTCATGCCAGCTCTGCCAAGTAGGTACTTGCCTATGTACAGAGGGGGCTCCCTGCCTGGCCTCCAGCAGGAGAGGGCCCCATGGTCAGCTTAATGCTCAGCACTATCTGCCAAGTGAGCTCAGGACACTTACCCCCAGCAGGTTTTTGGGCACATAGCCCTCCCGGTCTCCAAGGCGTGCCCACCACCACTCAGTCTCACTCTCGTCCTTGCGTCTCAGGATGGTGAGGGCATCCCCTTCGTGGAAGGACAGCTCATCAGTGTTCTGGGCCTCGTAGTCCCACAGAGCATACACCATGCCTTTGTTCATCACACCCAGCTTCTCCTGCACCCCTAGGACCAGAAAGCAATGGTCAGGCCTCGGTGGAGGGCGGTCTGCAGAGGGGGCCCACTCAGGAACAGGGTGGATGTGCTACTGCAAGGCAGGAGGCCCAGGTGAGAGGCTGAGAGCGCCTCCCCAGGCCCCCTTGGCTGGATGTGCTCCCCTGTCATGTCCCGCTCAACAGTGCTTCCATGGGCTCTAAACCCCAGAAGTGAAGGCACATCTAGAACAAGCTTCTGGAAGTCAGTAACTATAGGAGCAGTGACTGCCAGGCAGCCTCCCACCCCTGTAGGTGCCTGTCACTGCAGCCTCTCCCCAAGTGGGTGCCACACCCTGGGGACCAACGTGCCTCCAGGCTCCACCGAGTGGCCCTTGAGACCCTTGCAAGTTCTGCTGTGGGAGTATGATGCCACCCAGGTTATCAAGTGACTAGTGGGTCTGCTCTGCCCTCAGAATGGAGAAGCTGCTCAAGCCCTTGGGAAATCTGACCCTGGCTAAAGTAGCTTTCCTTAGGACATGAGCTTTACTTATCAAATGGCTCTAGGACAAAGGGCCAAGCTTCAGGGACCACAGGGATGGAGCTGGCCCGGCTTCCTGCAGTAAGTGTACAGATGAGGCACTGCCCAACCAGCACACCCCCTGGCTCCCCTGCCCAAGGGGCCACATCCGCACACAGCACAGCCAAGTCACTTGTTTTCTTAGCAATCAGACACAGGATCAGTCTAACAACAGGGATTTTCAAACACGTTTTCAGGAATTCATGCAAAGGCAGTGTGGCCTCTGTTCCAATGAGACTTTCTGGCTGCCCCTGAAGAAGGTGTCGAAGTCCAACTCCAGGCCTGGCTGGGCAAGGTGGCAGTGCCGTGGACACAGCACCACTGCAGCCCCAGGGAAGACACTGTGGGCACAGCCCAGGCCGCCCACATACCATATAAAAACTGGGAGCACTGGATGTAGCCTTCTTCCATCTCCTCACACTTGTCTGCAGCAGTTTCAATGTCGCTGATGGTTGAGGCAAAAATGGCAGCGCCGCTCTCCACCAGCTGCTTGCAGAGATGGACACTGTTACAAGAAGCAGCGCAATGCAGCGGTGTCCTGGAAGCAGAGGGGGGAAAGTGTGGGGCTGGCACTGCTGAGGGCTGACACGGCCCTCTAAGGATCCTCAGGGGGTGCCGTCCTCTGCACCAAGCATATCCCTGTGCTGCTGTTTTAAAATGGTGTAATTTCTACTAATACGTTATTTTGAACCACATGAATTTTTGAAAAAAGGGGACAGGAAATGACTTCAGAAACGACCGATTGAAAGATGTTCGTAAATGCTCACAGCACACTGTAATGTACATTTTTAAATGGCCAGGATGGTGGATTTTATGTTACGTGTATTTTACCGCAGTTCAAATACAGCAGAGTGACAGCTGCTTGAAGTTCAGAATGCCCCTGCAGGGACCATGGGGCCCACCCAGCAGCAAAGCCTTGCCCTGAAGGCAAAGGAAACAAAAACTTGAGCAACCTGAATGTCTGCGGGAGGGGAACAGCTGAGTTACCTTCCATACGGAACATAAGTTTCATATATTTCATATAGAATATATGAAAAGACAGAGACGGAATAGCAGAATGCGGAGATTACAATGTTCACAATGAGAACATAACCACAGCCGTGTCTTTCATAAAATCAAGAGAATGGGCTGGAAAGACAAGCAAGGGAAAACAGCGGCTATCTTTCCAGGATGCTACGGGCATCTTGCTCTCTGTCTCCACATTCCCCAGCTGTCCTCTTCCTTCTGGAAGATGAGGAAGTGAACTTCTCCACCCTACTGCCAAAGGCCTCACCATCCATCACTGTCAGCGGCGTTCACGTTGACCCCAAAGTCCAGCAGAAACTTCACGATATGATGGTGACCAGCGCAGACAGCATTGTGCAGCGGGGTGATCCCCTCGTCATTGGGCTTGCTGGGATCTTCCACCTAGGACACATGGCCATGAGCACCGTGCCCCGCCCTGCCCGGCTCTGTGGCACATGTGGTGGTAGACACCACAGCTCACCTCATAGATGATCCTCTGCACCAGATCAAACTCCCCCTCCAGAGAAGCATCAAGGAGCAGTGCCAGGGGGTTGAACCGGACCCTCAGCCCGTGCCCCGTCCGCTCAGAGTTGGGCTTCTTCAGGTTGGTCCGCTTACTCTATTGGGAAGGAAGCACATTCTCAGCTTACAGGGGACCTCCTCCCACGTGGTTGGAGGAGCGTGGGAACTAAAGTCCATGGCAGCAGCTCTCCAAGAGCAGCTCCTGGAGCCGAGTGGCTACCTGGGCTGCCCCAAGCTACTCCCAAGGGTGGCTCATGCTGATAGAGGGCTACATTTGGCTGCCAGCCATTCCTTCTCAGAAGATCCTGTGCAAGGGGGTGTGGACTGGATGTCAGCCCAAGGGAGTCCTCAACTCATTCCTGTGACAGGCGACAGGGTTCTTCCTGCCGTGGCACCAGATCCCAGCGGAGGGATCTTGTGAAGACCCCCTGAGGTAATGCTCAGCACCCTCTCCCTGTGTCAGCACTGACCTCCCACCAGAGGCCTTTGTCTAGATGGTCCTTCCCTCTCCACTTCAGTTCCAGCTGCAGCTCTCCTTCCTCAGGACAGCCTTCTGAGCTCCCTGGCATCCCGCCTCATGCTCCACCTGTGGCCACGTGACTATCCTCCCCACCAGGCCTAACTCAGGGAGAGGGATGTGCCTGGCTCCTACCATTCTCAGCACAGCCTAATGGGAAGTGCCCTGAAGGCCCTGGCTGCATGGGTGACCAGAAAGGCCTGGCTTGGTCTAGCAGTGACACCCACCGTGGAAGCTGCAGGCGCGGGGATGACAAGGGGGAGAGGTGATGGAGGAACTTGCTCGTCCCCTGGCGATGGGGCCTCGGCCACAGGGCTTGGGATCTGTTCCGTGGAGGGCACGGTGGCCACATTGTTGTTATCGTCCTCCGCAGGCTCAGCAATCTGGTGGGTGGTCTGGGGACAGATGAGCTCCACTGGCTCAGGGGATGGGAGCTCGTTGTCATTGGCATCTGATGAGGGGGCGGGCTCATCAGGGAGTGGGGCAGTGGGTGGGGCAGGGGTAGACTCCTCCAGGTTCCCATTGGCATTGGTATTTCCATTGTCCACATCAGCCAAGGTGCCCATGAAGTCCTGCGAGGGGCTGGGCTGGTAGAAAGGAGTGCCCTCCATGCCACCGGCCAGGGTATTGAAGCGCTGGTACAGCAGCTTCTGGATGTTGGGCCCGCCGGGGCCCTCGGGCTCCGTGATGGAGCTGCGCTTCTTCAGGGGCCGGGGAGCATTGGCCAGCTTCCTGCGGAGGGCCTCCAGGTCCGCATCACTCTGGTAGCGCAGCGGTGAGTGCACAATGGGTGTGAGCTTGGTGGGACTGAGTGGCCGCGGCAGGCTTTCCACAGCACCACCATCTGCGGGTGCTGTGGGGTCCTGCTCAGGCTCTTTCTCAGCACTTTCCAAAGACTGTTGAGGCTGTGGTGCGCCTGTGGACAGGGACCCATGAAGAAATGGTAACGGTGATGGGGACGTTGAACCCGAGGGTAAAACGGGCTTACCATACACTGGAAGAAAAACAAAGGACAGGGTCATTTCAGCACTGCTGTTGGGGTCACTAATTATCTTTGATTCCACCAGAGACAGACTTCTACAAAGAAGCATGCGAATCTGCTGCTGTTGCTACATTTTGACCTTATTTATTTGAGTTGGAGTCTCTGTCACCCAGGCTGCAGTGCAGTGACACGCTCATGGCCACCTCAGCCTTGACCTGTTGGGCTCAGGCGATCCTTCCACCTCAGCCTTCCAAGTAGCTGGAACTACAGGTATATATCACTAGGCTAATTTTTTGATTTACTGTAGAGACAAGGTCTCATCAAGCTGCCCAGGCTGGTCTCAAACCCCTGGACTCACTCAGGCAATCCCTTCGCCTCCACCTCCAAAGTGCTGGGATTATGGTGTGAGCCACCACACCTGGCTTAAACTCTGATTTTAAATCCCAAAGAAACCTGTTCCAAGAGCCTCTTTGACTCCTTCTGAGAAGTGAAGTGTGTCTCTCTAATGTATCAGTTTTTACATTTGGGTTTCCAGAACTGGGGCTTTTCCAAAAGAAAAAAAAAGTTGCTAACCTGATTTCCTGCCTTAAACAAGCCTGCCTTATTTTCTGACCAAGTAAAAAGACAAAACCAGTAAACATACATCTGATCCTTGGACTAACTCAAATGATATAAAAGCACATGCCTCCTCAGAGAAGGAAGATTCTATCTGGTAGCCCAGGAGCTCCCGAGAATGTGAGGCCTTTTGCACCGGGGCCAGAACTCTGCCCAAAGGTAAGCACTGCACCACCGCTTGAATGTCCCTGGGTGGGGGGCAACTGGGCATGCCCAGGGATCCCTGAACCATAAGTCTGTAGCCAAAGCCCAAGAATGTCTCACGAGGCCCCAGCCTCGTTGGAAACACCATCAGCCTCTGTGGCGGGTGTGAAGCAGGGCTGCATTTCCTCAGCTGCCTTCTCAGAACCTCTTAGATCCATAACTCCAAGTCAGGGCTTTGCTTCCCCATGCTCTGGGGAGGTTCCTAAGCAGCAGATACCCTCTTGACTAGCCCATTCCCAGGGATCTCTGGCTCAGCCACTGCCAGGAGGACCCATAATCAAGGCCACCCCAGAAACTCTGGAGAGCTCCTGGCACAAGTCACTACAAAGCAGGAAGAAGAAAAAGGAAATGCCCGAAATCTCACCTTTCCCAGAGCCGAATTTCCTGAGAGGCAGAGCTATGGCCCAGCTGCAAAACACTCGCTCAGGCGTTGCTCCTCCCATTCCCATCTCACACTGACAACCAAGGTGTTCTTTTATGTCAGAATTAAGTTTACTCCCACACAGTATTCAGCCATAGTGTAAGGATGTGGAGTAGTATTTTCTGAATTAAAAGCATAATTTCCCAACCCCAAGAGGAAAGTACCAAAGCCATTGTACCTGCTTTAACTGACTTATTTGAGGCGCTGTGTGCTGCCGGCTGGTAATTCTTAGGTGGCGTAGCTTGCTGGAGGTACATGGAGTATATGGAACTTGAATTCACTGTCTGGGGTCCTTTCCTGGGAGACTGTGGCCTTGACCCCTTATCAGCCAGGAAGGGCCTAATGGCCACTGTCAGCGGGAGCTCAGGTTTACCATCTCCAGCTGGGAATGCAGGTGGCCCTGCAGGCGGGTACGTGGGACTTGGTGGCACAGAAATCCTCTGCTGAATCTGCTGCGAGGAGCCTGGCTGGGAGACACTGCCTGTCGAGGGTGGCGGGCTGGGCTTCTGGCGACTCGGCAGGCCTGTGCCAGGTCTGGGCAAGCTGCCTTCTTTCCTCCTCTCAAGGGAGCTTGTCGACCCTGGACCCAGAGGCATGGGACTTGGGTATGTCCCATAGCTTGGAGGCAGCTGCTTGCCTACACCAGGGATGGGTGGTGGCACTTTGCCAATCTCGATGCCCTAAATTTAAGAAGAAAAACAAAGTCACCCTTTGAAAAGTTAAGCATATTTCCATCCATAGTCCTCAGAGAATACACAGTAGGATCTGTAATCACTCAAATCAACTTGTGACCTGGACACAGAGCACAGTGTTGGGCTCATCGCTTGTCTGCCAAAGTCCCGACCAAAAGACACATGTGCTTGTACAATGCTCAGGACTAAGGTCTACTCCCTCCTCTAGGACTCTGGGTGTCATCTGGACACTGACAGGACTAATTGCCAACCCAACCCCTGAGCTTAAGATGAAGGTGATAAAGACAACAGCCTACCGGCTTCTCGGCAGCTCCTGGCACTGAGAAGGGCAGAGGCTGGCTTGAGATGGTGCCCTGCTTGAGGGCCCCCTCCACACTCGGGTCCTTCCACTCCACACTGGCCATCTGTGTTGGTTTCACTGAAGAGCTAGAGTTCTGTTTTAATGTTGGCCAGTTTCCATCATTAGCTTGGAAAGAACATAGAACTTAAGCAAAAATGTTTCTTGAAATTAGTTGAACCAAACTAGGAATAATACCTTGCCAGAAACAAGAACAGCACTGGGACATCCCATTCTGCCATGAACCACTCAGCCGATCACCACCCATACACAGAGCCACTGATCTCCTCAGATGCCCACAGACCTAGGCACAAGACCTAGGGATAGCCTCTGCTGGCAGCTCCTTGCCAATGTCCAAATCGTTTTTAAGTGAATTATTAAATTATTACCAGAGGCTCACAAACCAAACCAAGGTTCAGCTGGTACAGGCCATGGATGCACGTCACTGAACACAGGTCAAATTCTTGACATCAACACCACTGACATACCCGTTGGCAGTCACTTTTCAAACACAGTTCATAAATACAATTACATGTAGCAATAACAACAGATTTCTCTTGTGACTCCAGTTTGACCTGTATCACTTTCATTGTTAAAATAAGAATTCGACTTTAATGTTAGGAATTTCTATCTTCTAAATAATTCATGATCACAGGAGGCCAACGCAAGTCCCCAATTATTTGGTAGCAGGAGGAGCAGGCTGTCATTCTGCTGCAGTGATTAGAAAGCCAGTCATCAATCCCAAGCTGTCAGAAAAGCCAACGAATGAGATGTTCTTTGTGGAGTGTTTTCCAAACTGAAAAAGATGCAAAGACATCCCTGGCAATGCAGGGTTCCTCACAGTGACCTAAGTCTTCCCAACATCTGTAGGGCTGGGTGTACAGCCCATGACTCGGACTCTTGTTCTTTAACAGGCACAGGTGCTGAACTGCACCGAGGCAGTCAATACTCCCAGCCCCCTTAACAATATGTAGAGACAGAACCCAGAGGGGCTGCATGGGGGCCTCCTGGCAAGAAAAGCATACCCTACCATCCTCTCGACCAGCATTGGCAGGAGGGGAACACTCAAAAGCAGCAGGGAAGTCACTGGTCCCCATGACAACACTTGGGCTGAAGTCATGGCCCACTGAACACAAAGCTACTCAACCCCACTCTGACCAGCCCACACAGGCCAAGAGGCTGGGCCCTGGTAGCAGCTGTGTCGGCCTGCTCTGAAGCCAAGCTGACCCAAGGCAGCAGCACTGCAGACCTGCTGCATTCGCCACTGTGCTGTGTCACTACTGTGCTGCTATCACTCTGGGTTGCAGGGGCAGAGCTCCAAGGCAGCTCCAGCCAAGCCCTGTGGAGGCATTCCAAGGTCTGGGTCATGCCATGTGGCCTACAGCAATTCCAGGCCTGGAATGCGCTGCTTTCATCCCCTCTTGGCTATACCTTAGATTCAGAGGATGTGGGGGCCAGAGTCGCAGGCTCACCAAGGACACACCGCAGTGCAAACTCAGCCTGCTTAAGACCAGGAGGGAGTGGGATGGTGCTCAGGGAGTGGGATTTCTGTGCCCACTCTCAGGGTCACAGGCAATGTGGCTGTCCAACTGTTTCCAAAATCCCCCAGCAAAGGAAATTTAATGGAAATCAACCACGGGGGGTACTTTTCTTCTTTCCTTAGGACAAGGCAGGAGGTATAGAAGGACAATCACTTATTTTTATTATAAAGGAATTATCTTCATGATGATAAAAATAAAAGTCTCGTAATTAACTCAGAAAATCATCTCAATTAAAAAACAAACACACACAAAACAAAACAAAAATCCTTGCTGTGCCAGCATCTGTCCCTTGGTGTCACTCTTTCTGAGGATGATCAGGTATGTGTAGCCCTGCCCAGACTTCACACCTGTCAAAGGGACAAATTACATTTGTGTGGCATCTTTTTCAAGACACATGTGATATGCAGACCTTTGTCAGTTTGGAAAAACAAGTGATTGTTGATTTTGTATGCACTGCAGAGAATCACAAGCTTCCCACTAGGCCAGTCAGCAACATACGGTTTACAAAGGGGCTTGCAGAGGATTGCGAGAGGCCACAGTCAGGCCCGACGTCGAGGTCTGACACTGTCCATGAGCTGGTCACTCTGGGTTTACTATGGCCATCTGCGTGACACAGAACCAGGATAGCAGGCATCGAGGGGTTAGCGTCCCCACTGGGAGATTCCACCCCCAGCTCTACCTGTGAATCAACATTCTGCCCTCACTTTGAGGCTGGCACAGGCTTCCTGTGTCCAGTCACTTTAAACCACCATAAAAAGACCAAGGCTAGGTAGGGCTTGGTAAGGGCATCTTCTTTTTGTAACCCCTGTGAGTGACACAGCACACACTAAGGAGAGGAAGCTGGAAGGTGTTCTCCCTTGGGGACTATTCAAATGAAGCTAGTAGAGAAGGAGCTGGCTAAGCTAACTACCTGCTGATAGAAGCAGATGGACATCCACAACTACACAGACTGGGTCAAACCGGAAAGAACAGCTTATCAAAGACAGCCACAGTCAGGACTCATGCTGACCAGACTCCACAGGGCTGCTGAGATGCAGCCGTAAGGGACCTGATGGACACTCATGGCCCAGAAGGGCTGGTGATGCCCTCCTCTTGCCAGGTTCAGAAACAAGCTCGACCTCCCAGCAGGGGCAGCAAATGTGTTGCTGTTCATACCAGGTGCCAGGCAAGAAAAATGAAGCAAATAAAAGACCAGCACCAATCCTGGAAAAGGACTTTAAATACAGGCCTGATGGCCAGAGGAGCAATGCTGTCTCCATAAGAAAGGAATGTTTTGCTATGTCGGGACATGGATTCTGGATACTGTGTATTACAGGGAAATGTGCCAACTCCTTTGCAATGAGACTTTTGCAAGGAAGTCTTATGGCAAAGAATCTCCTTTTGCGAAGAGGGAGATGGATGAGAACTAAAAAAAAGGCAAAGAAGACCTGACTTTTTAAATGCACTTGCTTAAAAAACAATCAGACTCTCCATGGAGAGCCTGCTCCATGCATGGCTGGGCCTAAGGTCATTACACAGCACGGGGGTGCAGTCAAAGATCTGAGCAAGGGATCACCACCCCTGGCCAGTGAAGACTGATGTGAGGGGAGAATGAAACCTGGCGACAGTGCCTGGTGTACAGGGGCAGCCCCTGCCAGGCCGCACTTGTGCCAAGATGAGCAGCCTGAGCCTCCGGGAGGCATCCATAGCCGGCTGGCTGGCCAGCTGGGCTCTCCATCCCTCAGGGTGAACAAGTCTGCAGCAGGAGAGGACACTTAAGGCTTTTTTTCATGTTCTGAAAAGCCACATGGTACAGACCTTCAGTTCAATAAAGAAAATCTGTTCTTGTTTCAGGGTCCTTATCAGGGTGCACACAGCTCCCCCAAGTGCCCAGGGGGAGACTGAGCCTGGAGCTTGACACAGAGGTGGAACCTCAGGAGTCCTGGCCTCTACCCTGCTGCACCACCCCCCAGGCCCCCTCCCAGCTCACGAATTCCCCCCCCAGGATCACTCACCTGATTTGGATCTTCCATGGGCAGCATTTGAGGCAATAGTGAGAGACTGGGGCTTTATGGGGTCCCCTGGGACAGGAAAGCTTCCGGCACTGGGAACTTGGATGTAAGGCCCCACAGCAGCGACCCTGCCCGATGTGCTCAGGGGTGACTGCGGTGATGAAGTGCCATTCACACGATTCAGCTATAAATGGGAAAGATATGGGTCAAGATTCTACTAATTGAAAGAAATCCCAAGCTTAGTGCGAGAGACTGCTAGCTCAGACATCAACCACTCACTTGATAACCAGTACATGGGAAGCCCATCACCCTGGAAGTCAGCAGAAAAGGGGAAGCTTCAGAGAAGGAACTCGACCCACTGCCCACATGAGCAGTTCTCTCCAGTCACACCTGCCCATTTGTGAGCCATAAGTATGCAGAGCTGATGTGATGGCAAAGCAACGTCCACATGACCCACATGCAGCCTCCCTCTCACTTGGAGGACACTTCCCTGGGCGGGGGAGGCACAAAGGCATCAGACAAAACCTGTTCCTCCACTTATTTGCTGTACTGCCTTGGGCAAGTGACTTAACCTCGCTGAGCCTCTGTGCCCACACATCTGTAAAGTCAGGATAAGGGCTGTTGTAAGGACTGTGAGTCACTCGGGACAGTGACCAGGCAAGGGCTCTGACTCCCTTCCATGAGCTGTCCCTAAAGGCAGCTCTTCCTCAGCAAGGACACAGAACCACAGGCAGAGAACAATGCTCACAAAACACTGCCCAAGAACAGAGGTGCCTGAAACAGGGATCTACCTAGAAAACCACTGACTCCTAAGGGCCTCAGGACAGGCTCTAGATGAGGACACATAAGCTCTGCAATTGTCTGCAAGATTCTACATGCAGGAGCATATGCCATTTTGGGATAGGGGATCATGACATTCACAATTGTTCAAAGGTACCTAGGCCCTTCGGGTAGACATATATCTCTGCAAAAGTACCCACTTCTTTGAGGAGATCCCTCAAAACATCAGGTGGAATGGATCTAGCCATTTGTGATGGTTGATGTTCTGCATGAGCTTGGCCAGACCATAATACCCAGAAATTAGGTCAAATACCAGCCTTGATGTTGCTGTAAAGTCATTTTTTAGATAAGATTAACTTTTAAGTGAGTAGATTCTGAGTAAAGCAGACCCCCCCACCATAAGGCGTGTGGGCCTCACCCAAACAATGGCCTTAGAAAGTGCCTGAGATCACTAGGAAGGGGAATTCTGCCTGTAGACAGCCCTCAGGTTCAAGCTCAGATCCAACTCACCCTAGTCTCCAGGCTGCAGGCTACCTTGCAGGGCTCGGAGTCACCAGCCTCCATGATCACACAAGCCAGCTCCTTAGGCTAAATCTCTCTCTTCCTATACACACATGCTATTGGCTGTTTCTCTGGAGAACCCTGCCTACTACACCATTACTAAAGAATGTAATGCAAGTAAACATCAAGAACATGCCTGCAACCTCTCATGGTCTCTGTTACTAATCTTGAGAGGAAAAGGAAAACCGACATCTGAAACCATACAGTTATACAAATTAATGACTGACCTTCAAATCTGCTGGTTAAAATAAAATGGTAGATTTGTAAGTAAGAGATTCACTGTAATGTCCACAGAAGTGGCAGTCCCTGTCCTCATCTGCCATCCTCCAAGCCCAAACCCCAACCCCGGACAGAGCCCCTAAGCCCATGCCGGCCTCCTCAGAGCATCTTCAGAGCGGACAAGAGGACAATGACCACTGAGTCTGCAGAAGAGCCATCTGGGGCAGATGTCCTTGCGAGTTGGCTGTCTGTCCCCTCTCCTGCCCCAAGGGCAGAGTGCAATCCTCTCTGTACCAGGTACTCTCTCCTCACTGGGGAGTCCACAGCCAACTAGACACACAGTGCAGCAGCAACTCATATGCATAGGCACTCAGCTGTACGTGTGCTCACCAATGCATTGTAAATGACAGTATGGCTTGGGTCACCCTGCCTGACTACAGGACACAGCAAAGAGGTGACAGGCCCTGGGACCATGGAACAGCATTCAGATGGTACAACGAGAACAAGGCAATGACCTTGGAAGATACCTATGTTGCAGTTAAAAAAGACTAGGAGAGACAGTGTGACTAATACAGTTATTACACTCTCATTCTCAAAGTTCTATACTGCTGTGTCTGCATTAAGACTGTGTTATGACATCCTCCCCAAAGTTCTCTACTGCAAAAGATCACAACCATGAACAGCTATCACCTCTGGAGAACAGTGTGGAAAGGACTTTCACATTTCTCTTTAACTATTCCTGTACTTTTTTTTTCAGTAAGGATTTATTAACTTTGTATCCAAAATACCAAATGAAGGGGTTTTTTTGTTTTTTTTTTTTAAAGTATAACCCCTTATATAGCATTTTTCTTGACAGTTTACAAAACCCTTCCACATGGGTTATTGCTAACAACTCCTGGGGCAGGTAAGACAATTCACTTTACAGCAAGGACACATGTCTACACAAGTCAAGGAACTTGCTCAAAGTGGCCCAGCTTAAAACAGCAGCATGAGGACCATGCTGGGTGCTGTGACTCCAGAGCCAACAGCGTCCTCCAATGGCGAAGAGACAAAGCACACAGGGAAATGGAGGGTGAGGACACCAAGGCTGCAGGTGTTTTGACTCCATACACTAGGACGACTCTGGGAAAGTGAACTTTCTTCTACTGTCATTTTTGATGCTTTGTGGCCAATTTATGTTTTATCAGCTGTGGCAATAGGGGGAGCATAATGCCACTTAGAGAAGATGAACAATTTTTGGATGAACCATCCAAAACCAGATGAATCATCTATTTATCTTACAGGAACTTTCTTTTTCACATGCCTGGATTTTCTTCCCATAAAGACGTTCACGCAGTTCGTTAATGCGTTTGTCCATCATGGCCACCTCCATGTTGCGCTTATTTAAGAGCTCCTTCTGCTGCTGGAGTTTTGAATTCTGTTCCTGGTTAAGCTGGTTACGAATCTGCAAATCACAAAATACAACTTTTATGATGTGCATTTATTAAAAAATCACATTACCATTAATTCCTTTACGAAGATTAAAAAAGAAAAAGGAGCATTTAGTTCTGATGTGTACCTATATGATGCATTGCCATCTAGTGCTGAATATCTTACAGGTACAGCACTGATGAAGCCAGAACAGAGTTCTTATGGAGCAGAGAAAGAGAAAATATCTGTAACACATCTTCAAAGCACATAGAATAACTAGTGCCGGTAACGCTGACATGACACCAACTGGTCTCAGGGACTTTCATGAACCAAGGAGCCAATCTGCTCCACCCACAAGCTGCTTCATGTCCTAGCCCACCACATAAGGCCCCTTCCTGGGGAACAGCAGGAAGTTCACAGAGGACAACCAGAATCACCAGGTAAAGCTCTTGTATACTATTGGTGGGTTGCAGCCAGCATTTTTAAGAGATGAAATAGGAGAGAACACAAAACATCAGCAGGTACATCCCACAAGAAGCTAGGTACTATCTTGCTGAGCTCTTGGATGCCCACAGCACTAGTGCATACATATTCATGTGTATATTTGACAGAAGGTAAAATGTACTTTTAAAAGCTAGATTGGGCCGGGCTCAGTGGCTCAGCCTGTAATCCCAGCACTCTGTGAGGCCGAGGCAAGTGGACTGCCTGAGCCTGCTGGTTCGAGATCAGTCTGGGCAACTTGGCAAGACCTCATCTCTACAACAAATAAAAATTTAGCCAGGCGAGATAGAGCACGCCTGGAGTTCTGGCTACTTGGAAGGCTGAGGCAGAAGGATCGCCAGAGCCCAGCAGGTCAATGCTGGGGTGGCCGTGAGTGTGCCACTGCACTCCAGCCTGGATGACAGAGCAAGACTCCAACTCAAAACAAAACAAAAAACAAAAAAACTGGATTGCGGTTCATGAAGTTGGAAATAAATGATATTATTCCATTACATTCATCATACATCACCAACGTATCCTTAAAAACCATGCACTTTTAACAACTGCTTAAAGCAAAAGTAGTTCCAAATTCTTATAATACTTTATTATTTCTTTTCTTTTTTTTTTTTGAGTCAGAGTCTCACTTTGTCACACAGGCTGGAGGGCAATGGCATGCTTCCGGTCACTGTAGCCTCAACCTGCTGGGCTCAGGCAATCATTCCGCCTCAGTCTTCCAAGTAGCTGGAACTACAGGCATGCACCACCATGCCCGGCTAATTTTTTTTATTTCTTGTGGAGATGAGGTCTCACCAAGTTGCCCAGACTGGTCTCAAATCTGTGGGCTCAGGCAATCCTCTCATCTTGGCCTCCCAAAGTACTGGGATTATAGGCATGAACCACAGCACCCAGTTTTACTTTGTTACTTCTATGTATTTATGTTAAAGAATTAACAGCAACCACAAGTGATTCTACTCTGTAAATACCCTCATTTCATAAAATGATACAATACTTCAAGAGCTAATAAATATCACAAAACTTGTTTCTGGCTTGAAAAATCACCTGCTAAATGACAACTTTGAGAAATGAAAATCTTGAGGATTATTATGAACTGAATGTTTGTGTTACCCCCAAATCCATATGTTGCAGTCATAACTCCAGTGTGATAGTAATTGGGGGTGAGGCCTTAGGAGGTAATTAAGTTTAGATGAGATCATGAGAGTGGGGGCCCCATGATGGGATTCGTATCTTTATAAGAAGAGGAAAGAAACCCGGAACTCTCTCTCCACCATGTAACTTGGAAGGCTGAGGCAGACTTGGTGAGACCTCACCTCTACAATAAGTAAAAAAAAATTAGCCAGGCATGGTGGTGCATGCCTGTAGTTCCAGCTACTTGGAAGACTGAGGCAGAATGATTGCCTGAGCCCAGCAGGTTGTAAGGACACAGTGGGAAAGCAGCTGGCCGCAAGCCAGGAAGTGAACTCTCACTGGAACTGGATCTTCTGACACCTTGATCTTGGGTTTCCAGCCTCCAGATCTGTGAGAAATGCCTGCTGTTTAAGCCCCCCAGTCTTTGGGTATTTTGCTGGAACTACATGCTACCATGCCTAGCTAATTTTTTGATTTATTGTACAGACAAGGTCTTGCCAAATTTCCTAGGCTGGCTAATTTTTTGATTTATTGTACAGACAAGGTCTTGCCAAATTTCCTAGGCTGGTCTCAAACCCCTGGCTCAGGCAATCCTCTCATCTTGGCCTCCCAAAGTGCTACACCTGGCCACACCCGGCCTATGTGCATTATATTTACCAACTGAGCATCCCTCCTAATCTGGAAATCCAAACTCCAAAATGCTCCAATGAGCATTTAATTCCATTGAGCATCATATTGGTACTCAAAAAGTTTCGGATTTTGAAGCATTTTGGATTTTCAGATTAGGGATGCTCAACCTGGGCTGCCTGACTCCACTAACATGAAAAGTCCAGAATAGGCAAATCCATAGAGAAAGTAGATTCATGATTGCCAGGTTCTGGGAGATGGGGGCTATGGAGTGATGGCTAAGAGTATGGGGCTTCTTTTTAGGGTAATGAAAATGTTCCAAAATCAATTGTGGTGGTGGATGCACAACTCTGTAAAGGTTCTAAAAGCCACTGAACTGTACACTTGAAATGGGTGAATTAGGCCGGGTGCAATGGTTCAAGCCTGATGAATTGTATGCTGTGTGAATTATATCTCAATATAGTCACTTAAACATTATTTTGTGGCCAGTCTCGGTGGCTCAGCCCATAATCCCAGCACTTTGGGAGACCAAGGAGAATGGATTGCCTAAGCCTGCAAGTTCAAGACCAGCCCAGGCAACTTGGTGAGACCTTGTCTCTACAATAAATAAAAAATTAGCCAGGCGTGGTAGTGCATGCCTGTAGTTCCGGCTAATTGGAAGGCTGAGATGGAAGGATCCTGAAGTCTAGCAAGTAGACACTGGGGTGGCCATGAGTGTGCCACTGCACTCCAGCCTAGGTGGCTGAGTGAGATTTCAACTAAAAAAACCAAAAAACAAAACTAGAAGCCATTGTTTCCAATTCCTAAGGTTTCCAACCTGGACTTAGGAGAAAGCTAGAAAGATGAGGATGTTTGAATGTAACCATTCCCAAGACCCAGTAGAGTTACCTGTAGCTCTTGGTACAATCTTTTTAACTCCACCGCCGCTGGCCCCGTCAACTTGCCATTGTAAGACTGGAACCCATTCAGTTTTCCTTTCTTTAAATCTTCCAACTGCTGACTCAGCTGATCAACTCTTAAAATTGCAGTCTGTACTTCCTGCTTCTTCTCCTGGAACATGGCACTGAACCTTTCTATTTCAGCAGCTATAGTTGCCCACCAAATAAGCAAAGAACATCGTTTAGTTAACAGTCTATATTTTCCTTTCTATACACTGAACTCACTCGTGCATCATCTAGTGCCAGACCTGAGCAGAAACTGAGCTATGTGTAATCCAAAACACATCTCAACAAGTTTCTGGAACACATGCTATGACTGCTCATAGAGCAAACAATGATATTTGCATTAATTACAGAATATTCTTTAGGGCACTCGGTCCAAAACCTGGCTTGGCCAAGCCACTTAGGAAGGAACTCAAACGTGCTGAAAAGAAAAAAACAAACAACCCCATTATAAAATGGACAAAAGATATGAACAGACACTTCACAAGGGAAGACATCCGAGCAGCCAACAGACACATGAAGAAATGTTCAACCTCACTGATCATCAGGGAAATGCAAATCAAAACCACACTGAGATACCACCTAACTCCAGTCAGAATGGCAGTTATCAATAACTCAAAAAATAACAGCTGCTGGAGAGGGTGTGACGAAAAGGGAACACTTCTACACTGTTGGTAGGAGTGTAAATTAGTGCAACCTCTGTGGAAAGCAGTGTGGCGATTCCTAAAAGCTCTAAATATCAACCTCCCATATGACCTCGCAATCCCCCTACTGAGAATATACCCTGAAGAACTCAAATCACTCTATCAAAAAGATACCTGCACACGTATGTTTATCACAGCATTGTTCACAACAGCAAGAACCTGGAACCAACCATGCTGTCCATCAAAAGAGGACTGGATTTAAAAAGTGTGGTACATATACACGACGGAATACTACGCAGCCATAAAAAAGAACAAAATCATGAATTTCGCAGCAACCTGGATGGAACTAGAGTCTATAATACTGAGTGACCTCTCACAGAAACAAAAATCTGAGTATCACATGTTCTCACTCATATAGTGGACCTTGAACATCCACTGTAATACTATGGGGGAATGACTGACAGTGGTGGGAAACTATGGGGTGGGGAAGGGAGATGGGATTAACAGTAGCGGATATCTGTCTAGGGACGGGGAGACACCTCTTATCACAAGGGTGCCGGAACAAAGCATGTTTGTATACCTAACCCTTAACTGTACCCCACAATACCATAATAAAAAATATTAATTATATTAAAAAAAAGGAATCTCAACGCACACACAGATGGAAGGTTTTGTGAAGGCAGAGTCATCCATGTCTGTTTTGTGAGTCACTATGACACAAAGTAGCACTGCCTGAACTGATGAGTAAAATCAGAGTTGACACAGGGGAAAAAGAGTGACCATCTGCATGGCTTATCTTCATGACAGATAAAAGTTAAGATGTTTGAGGAAAACTGACCCTTGGAATGAGTGAGTCTTGGCGCATCCTCACCCCAACCCAGAGGGCTGCTGTCAGCAATGTAAGAAAAGGAGCTTTCTACTACATCCTAGGGCTGCGAGCGATCCTTAAAGATCACTTAGCCTAACAACCCTAACCTTTTAGATGTGGTTAACAGCAAAGCTTTGGCACCCTTGCTATTAGTCAGGTGAACTAGGGACTGATCTGGGCCTGGTGGGAGTGGGTGCCAAGTGGGTTGAGGGCACCTACACAGATTGCCGTTCATGATCTTGCTGTAGTCGACTTGTCCCCTCATGGCACGAATTTTCTTCAGCTTGTTTTCCTGGGCTTCAACTCGCTCTTTCAGTTTCTGAAGCTTTTCATTTTCAGAAATAGACTGTTGCTGACGGCGCTCCTGTTGCTTCAGAAAATGTAAACGCTGTTCCTAACAAAAGTAGGAAGAATATAACCAAAATCAAAACTTAGGATTACTTTTATGCACTAAAAAGAAAAATGTGAGTGTAGTCCACAGGATCACTCATCTTAACGAATACTAAAGAAACACTAGAGGAATCTTGCACACTTCAGAACACACAAAACTGAAATTATTGGGCACATGTAAGTATGAAACGGTAAGAGTTTAGGGATTTTTAAGAAAGGATTTTACTATTCAGACTGATCTAAAGTAAGTGCTTCTGCAGAAGTCTGACAACAGGAGAAAACGCGCTGGCTAACACAACCTCATCTTTGCTCTATGTCAGTCCCAGCTTGGCTTCCTGCTGCCAGTAACACATTTCCTGTTGCTACAAAGTGGCTTCCAAGAACCCTTTATTTAACTTCCTAAAGGAAATGAGTGCTGACCAGCAGAGGATTTTACACTGAAAAGAGATAAGGTAATCAGTAAGAAAACAAACCTCCAATGTGCTATGACACTGAGCAACCAATGAAGTGTTTTCTTTCTTCAGGATTTGTTAATTCAAAAATAATGAACATTTTATGTCAAATAGTACCAAGACATTTCCAAAATAAAAATATATGCAATACTCTTCAACAGGGTTTTCTTTTTTTTCCCCTATTTATTTATTTATTTTTTGAGTTGGAGTCTCACTGTGTCGCCCAGACTGGAGTGCCATGGCATGCTCACAGCCACCCCAGCATCAACCTGCTGGGCTCCAGCGATCCTTCCACTTCGGCCTTCCAAGTAGCCGGAACTATAGGCGCACGCGACCACACCCAGCTATTGATTTTTTAATTTTATTGTAGAGATGAGGTCTCGCCAAGTTGCCCAGGCTGGTCTTGAACCCGTGGACTCAGGCAATTCACTCGCCTCGGCCTCCCAAAGCGCTGGGGGATTACAGGCTGAGCCACCGAGCCCGGCCTTTTTTTCCCTATTAATGTAAAAACATACCTTAAGGATAAGAGACAACATTAGATATTCATGGTCCCATATGCATGCATAAGATATATCTAAATAAGGAGAGGTTTAAGGTATGATTATACAGGCAATACACACTATCACTCTAAGATAAGAAAATATATGCTTCAATATTTAAGGCTCGGCATTACTAGGGATTTACATTGCTAAAAATACCTATATATATATTTTTAACAGCAATACTCTTGAATCAATATTTGGAAAGAAAACAAAAAGTAGAATTAGAAAATTTTAGAATTACATAGTACTATGTATATTTTATCTTCGAAATCTTATTAATGAGATAAAATACTTTGCAATTTACTTAACTTTTGAATGTTTTTGCTCTTATAAATCCAATGAACTTTATAAGACAACTTTTTAAACAAATCCAACTTAAATTATTATTTACATAAAAACAGATAGTACAGTGAACTACACATTCAATAAATGAAAAAAAAATCAGATTGGACATTTGTTGTTAATTTTGAAAATCTCTACAGAAGAAAGCAGTACGAGCCTAACTGGTAATGTCTAAAGGTTCCCTTCAAATCAGTTCCAGAATATTTCAAGATAGATCATTCACAACATGAATCACTTCCTGCAGGCATGAGTAATAGGTCTGATTTCTTTAACAAAGTCTTGAAACAATTATTTAGAAAAATTCCAAATTCTGCTTCACAGAGCTGCTGCAACAAACGTAGAACTCGGTGTACATAATGAGCACTAACTATGCCCTACACTGGCATAAACCAAGCACGTTCAGCCTAGAGTGGCACTCCAGGAAGCCCCATTAGCCAGCTGTCACTGTCTTTGGGGCCCCTGACCAGTACTTCCATCATGGATTGCAGGTTTCCTCTAGAACACAAATATCATCCACACCGCCAGGAATACACCCAGAGGAAAAAGGAGAAAACAGCAAAAAGCATCCTTTCTTCCCAAATTTCAGCTATGATTTGAATATGGCCAGCCATTTCCATTCTGGGTGTTTGTTGAGCTGTCAAGAGTCAGATGCTCTTGCTTGATGCCTTCCCAACTTCTAGATGCTTCAGGATGCATATGTTATTACAGAAGTGATAATAAAGAGACACTTTGCTTGGCACTCCTGTAGCAGGGTCCCATTTTACAAGTGTTACCCACGAATGTATTACTCCGAGTCTAAAATGGTGGTTTTAGAACCATGTTTCCCTACCTTTGCTTTTATAACTTACCTTGGCAACCAACATCTGCTGTTGGTTTTCAATCTGCTGCTGTTGCCTAGCTGCCATATCCTGGAGCTCTGAGAGGGTAAGCTCGACACGTGGATTCCCAACCTACAGAGAACACAAACCGTTCATCTTGGAATGTGCATTTGTCTGCACGATTGTCTTTCTCTAGTGTCAAAACTCACATACGGCAGGTTTTTAGACAGGTTCCCTAAAAGTTAGGAGAATACAAACGAGTTTGTTTACTCATAAGATCTTTCCTAATTGTTGACTGCTTTTATTGAGTAACGGTTTTTCTAAGGCATACATATTAGGTACAATATTGAGGAAGCTCAACTTTAAGCATACACATTTTGCAAATGTGTATTATACGCTGACAGTCCTCCTTTTGAAACGATGAGTTAAAAGGCATGTCTGAGCAAAGGAAGTTGACAAATGTTTAAGGAAACATGCCAAAAAAATAAATGTGTGGGTAACACCTGAAGACAAATGTTACCTCACTATCACCTGGTTTCAAGAAACTGAAATATGTAACATATTCTAAAATACAGGCACCTTGTTAAAAACACTATATGTATGGCCTACATGAAGAATGAACACACCCTCTGACAGAGAATTACGTATGTGAAATGAACACAAAAAGGGAAGGCCCAGGGGAGTGCAACTGCCCATGTCCCTATTCTCTGCCGACAATGCCCTGAACTGAATGTTTTACATAGATGGATCCAGTTCAGCCTCAGAATGGCTGATGAGATGAGTACTATTAAACTCCCACTTCACCAATAAGAAAACAAGCATGAGCCATTAGTGGGAGGCAGAGCAGTGAGATAAGTCCATGTCCTTGACCATCACCCAGAGTCCACTGCCTGCTAAGCCCACACAGTGTGTTGTGCCAGCATGTCGTGCACTGGGCTGTGTGCTCTTCAGAACAAGTCTGCATGATGGGGACATGAGCCCCACTCTGGGAGAGGGACCACCAGAGAGGGAGAAGGAATGGGCCTGGAGACACACAGCTCACAGAAGCAGCAGAGCTCATGCCAACAGGCTAGTCTTCTTCCAAACCCATGGGTTCTAGCTATGGAGGCCCCACAGTCCTTCCTCAGACCTCCCACGTTCTCCTCCTAGGCCCAGACATACCCTTAGGACCCCTTTACCTTCCACCTCCCTTAAGCCTCTTATAATTCTAAATAGTCCGTTCCAATCACCCCAGACCCATGTCTTCTCAAACTTTTCTGGTATCTGAGTACTTTCTTGACTCTTGAAAAATGGGATCAGGGTTTGTTCACCAATCTTAACTGAAACTCCTTTTCTGTTTATCCAAAGGTCTTGAGGAAGCAATATGGAGCAAGTCTCTTTTCCGAACCAGATACTTTAAACTACCAAATTACAGAAACTTCCATTTGAAAATAGTTTATTCTAAGCCAGGCTCGGTGGCTCAGCCTGTAACCCCGCGCCTTGGGAGGCTGAGGTGAGCGGGTTGCCTGAGCCCGCGGGTTTGAGACCCGCCTGGGCAACTTGGTGAGACCTCATCTCTACAATAAATCAAAAATTAGCCGGGCATGGTAGTGCACGCCTGTAGTTCCAGCTACTTGAAAGGCTGAGTTGGAAGGATCGCTGGAGCCCAGCAGGTCGAGGCTGCGGTGGCCAGGATCGGCCACTGCACTCCAGTCTGGGTGACAGAGTGAGACTCCAACTCAAAAAAAATAAAAAAAGAAAAAGAAAATAGTTTATTCTACAAAAAAAAAGGTCTGACAAAAGTGTCCAAATGACTGAAAGACTATTTTACTTTAACACTAATAAAGGGTTACTAATTTCCACCTACTGAGATTTTCTAATCAATACAAACTTGTTCAGAACTTTTACTTCTTAAACACTTGTGTTTTGTTGTTGTTGTTGTTTTTGGAGACAGACTGGAGTACAATGACATAATCATAGCTCACTGCAGCCTCAAACTCCTGGACTCAAATGATCTTCCCACCTAAGCCTCCCAAGTAGCTGGGACTACAGGTGCATGTCACCACACCCAGATAATTTAAACAACATTTTTTTTTTTAATAGAGATGAAGTCTTGCTATGTTGCCCAAGCTGGTTTTGAACTCCTGGCTTCAAACTATTCTCTCACCTTGGCCTCCCAAAGTACTGGGATTACAGGCGTGAACCACTGAGCCTGGCCTCCTTAACTGCTTTTTAAATGGTTATAAAAACACAAGCTGCCATAATCCTGTAAGTCAACAAATAGGTAACAATTATATATTCCCTTAATTGTGCAAAGTGAACATTTAGCAAAAAGAAGTACTTTTTAGAGTTGTTGTTTTTTAAAGAAAACAGAAATGAGTCAATACAAATTTGATCCTTTTAAGCAGGTCTATCACTGCATTACATGTAAACTAATCCCCACTTACAATTTAAAATTTTTCACATGAACTCAACTTATCCAAACTAGCCTACTTACCTAATTCCTCCCTATTTCTCTTCATTGCAATTCATAATACATTCCCTCAGGCGCCTCAAGGATCCCAGTTGTGGAGAGTGACCTGAGGAGTTCAGCTCTAGGTCACACGGAGTACGCAGTCACTTTGAGCAACTGAGAGGGATTAGCCGAAAAGTTCTCTCAGTGACAGCCAAGCAGGTGCCTACAAACACGGGACCCAATGAGAGGAAACACCCACCAGCCCCAGGAATCAAGGCCTCCTTTGCAGCCGGCAGCCTTCACTACCTCAAGTTTGGATTCTAGGGAAAGCCACTGTGTTCCCAAAGAACAGTTCACTCTTCAGCCTAACACTGACATCCTTGTTTCCCACAACAAACATGGCCCACCCTACTTCAGGTCTAACCAACACTGCCCCAGACTCCAGCATCAGCAGAGAAAAACAGAGCCTCTCACCGCAGACTTTGTGACCACTTGTCTGATCACATCACTCACTCTGTTCCTTCTTCAAACTTCCACAAATCTACTTGAGGAAATTATAGTTAAGAGACTTTATTAGCTAACATGCAACATATTTATATACAAAATAGTTACCTGATGGGAGATATACCATCAAATATACCATCAGATGTACCAGAGACCCACTAGCTAGAGAGACTTCATGAGACTCTGGGCCTCCACAGCAACAGGTCCCAGCCCTAGCACCTGGCCACAGCATCAGCAATCAACATTTCTGGAATGGACTTATAAGTAATGGAATACCTCCTTGTCCTCCCACCACATCCTCATCACATTCCAGCACAGATGGCATCTTTTCCAACTCAAAAGCCCAGATTTCTTTTCACTGTGTTCCTCTGGAGAAGTCTACATCCTCCTCACCATTTTAACTGTCCCTCCAGATCTTTCCCAACACCCAAATTGCCTCTGGTCCCATCACCTCCCTCCTAACCAGGTACCCTAATTCCTGGATGCCTACAAAGGCTGGAAGCAGTGCTGCACTGGAACTTTACAGGTGAAACAGCTCAGTGGTGTACTCAAGACCTAGCATAGCAAGGGCAGGACAACATCCTCCTCTACTTGGCAAGGCCATCATGAAAGTGTCAGGGAACAAGTGTTCCCTGAGTACTATCCACATTCAATACCACAATGCCATGACAATTCATTTCCCTTCTGTATGCCAGGTGTCATCCCAGACACCGTAGGCAATATACAAGAAAAGCAGAATGTAAGCTCTGGCCTTTAATGAGCCACTCTTCTAATGAGAGATGAGAGTTTCACACGGGAAGCAATTAGATGACCCCATCCAACTCAACTATGAGGAATAGAACGAGCACAGGTTTTCTTTATACTGGTATTTCCACTGTGAAATAAAAACAGCACTTCCCAGGGTGGCAGTACACTGCTCAGGTGGGACCCCACCAGAGGAGTACATGAGAGCAGGATGCCTACTGCACCACTCAGCTACGCTGGGGCCGGTTGTTACGGGAATCATGGGCTGAAAGAGAAAGCAGTCGCTTAATCCTCCCACACCAAATGAAAAGATAAACCCTCTGTATGCTATCATTCTGAATATTACAAAAATTCCAAGTGAAAATATTATTTCATAACATCCATAATAAACAAAAATAAAACAATTTTCTTTTGTTTGTTTGGTTTTTTTTTTTTTAGTTGGAGTCTCACTCTGTCGCCCAGACTGGAGTGCAGTGGCCGCTCCCGGCCACCGCAGCCTCGACCTGCTGGGCTCCGGCGATCCTTCCCCCTCAGCCTTCCAAGGAGCTGGAACTACAGGCGCGCGCTATCACACCCAGCTAATTTTTTGATTTATTGTAGAGATGAGGTCTCGCTGCCCAGGCAGGTCTCGAACCCGTGGGCTCAGGCAATCCACTCACCTCAGCCTCCCAAAGGCGCGGGATTACAGGCTGAGCCACCGAGCCCGGCTAATAAAACAATTTTCTAATTTATGGTCCTCCTAAATTTAAGATGATCAACTTTGAAAAACAAGGGTAAGTACAGATTCTAGTCTATTTCAGATATGAAACTTCAGAAACTGCTTTACTGCTAATGAGTAAACTAAATGAACAGGCCAGCTTAAGAAATACACAGTAAAATCAATGTTTACTTTTAAAATCAACTTTATTTAGGCATAATTTACATACAACAAAACACACCCACTTAAAAAGCATAGTCATTGGTCAGGCATGGTGGCTCAAGCCTTTAATTCCAGCACTTTGGGAGCCCAAAGCGAGAGGACTGCCTGAGCCCATGGGTTCGAGACCAGCCTGGGCAACTTGGCAAGAGCTCGTCTCTACAATTAAAAAAAAAAATTAGCTGGGCATGGTGGTGCCGCACACCTGTAATTCCAGCTATTTGGAAGGCTGAGATGAAAGGATTGCCTGAGCCCAACAGGTCAAGGCTGCGATGGCTGTGAGCGTGCTACTGTACTCCAGTCTGGGTGATAGAGACTCCAACTCAAAAAAATAAAAATAAAAAGCATAGTCATGCTGTGTTTAATGATGGAGATATATCTAAGAAATGTGTTGTCAGGCAATTTTGTCATTGGGGGAACATCAGAGTGCACTCATGCAAACCTAGGTGGCACAGCCTACTACATACCTAGGTTATACAGTATAGTCTACCATTGCTCCTAGGCTACACACCTGAATAGCATGTTGCTGTACTA